AAAAAAAAAAAATTAGCCAAGCATTGTGGCAGATACTCTAGCCTGGGCAACAGAGTGAGAACCTGTCTCAAAAAAACACAAAAGTATATCCAATATCTCACCATTTCTTAAGGCTTCAATGGCTACTTCCCTGGTCCAGGCCTTCATAGTGTCTCCTGGGTTTCTGCAATAACCTCCTATGTGGTGTGTTTCTGCCTTTAACTTCTGTCTTGGTCTATTCTCAACATAGCCGCCAAAACTATATATATATATATATCAGATCACGCTATTTTTCTGCTTAAAACTCTCCAACGGGTTTTCATCTCAATCAGAATAGAAGTCTAAGTCCTTACTTACCATGACCTCCAAGTCCCTAGACAATCTACCCACCACCCCACCCTATCCACTTCCTCTCTGATACCTACCTTCTCTTATTTCTCTCCTTCACTTTCACTCCACTCTTGCCACACTGGCTTCCTTGTTGTTCCTGCCTCAGGTTTTCTGTACTTGCCTTTTCCCTCTTCCTGGAATGCTTTTCACTCTATAGATATTTCCATGGCTTCCTTCTCTTCCTTCAGAACTTTGTTCAAATGTCAACTTTTAGTGAATCTTCTCAATAACCCTATTTAAAATCAGAGCACCAAATCCCCCCACAAACATGGCACTCTTAACCTACCTCTCCAACCTTATCCTACCATCATTTGATACAATATAATTTACTTATTTAAAATTTTTACTTGGTCTCACCTTACTAGGATGAAAGCTCCATGAGGACATGGATTTTTGTTTTGTCTACTCATCAGCATCTAGGACCACGCCTGGTTCATAGTAGGCAATCAATAAATACTTGTTGAATAAAAAAGCAATGAATTTACCAACTTGTACATTAAAGTTATTTTATTTATGCTGCATACGCACATGCTGGTAACTGGACACTCTTAGAACTGTAACTCTAAGTAAAAGTTGGTATTACTCTTGGCTGGGCATGGTGGCTCACGCCTGTAATCATACCACTTTGGGAAGCCAAGTGGGCAGATCACCTGAGGTCAGGAGTTCAAGACCAGCCTGGCCAACATGGCAAAACCTAGTCTGTACTAAAAATACAAAAATTAGCTGGGCATGGTGGCGTGCACCTGTATTCCCAGCTACTGGGGAGGCTGAGGTGGGAGAATCACTTGAACCCGATAGGTGGAGGCTGCAGTGGGCCAAGATCATGCCACTGCACCACAGTCTGGGTGACAAAGTGAGATGCTATCTCAGAAAAAAAAAGTGTTATCCCTAAGCTTATGTCTTGGCAAATGGTCAATATGGCTCTATGTTTAAGAAAAACCACCCTGACATGTATTAACAGAGTAAGCAAATGTTAAATAGTGGGAAAAACTGGGAAAATGGTGTACAAATGAAATAACAATAGGTTCCTCGGACCCATCATGCCTCACAATAAAGACAAACATCAAAATCAACTTTCCCAGCTGAATCTCAAATTAAAGTTTCAGGCAAATATCCCTTTTCCTACTACTAGCACTGAACTTCAGGGGGCTTACAAGAAATGGAGGTGAAAAGCAAAGTGGTCGACAAGGAATAAAGTAAAGCCTATGCATTGGAAGAAGAGATTATATTTCATTATCAAATGCATTAAAACAAAGTTAGCTTGGC